ATTATTATTATTATTATTATTATTATTATTATTATTATTATTATTATAAAATAACATCCTTTTAAAATGCGGTTTAAGTTTATTTTTTAAAATAATCTTATTGATTAATTAATTGATACCTCAAAAAGTAATGGTATAACCTCTCATGACATAAAAAACAAAAATAAAAATCTAAAGAACCAGTAGTTAATAAGTATATCACTATAAACAGCTCATATTTCATCTGATATCAAAGAGTCGCTCATAGAAAATCAATCAACTACATAGTCTTACTTATACTTTTAATTTTCAGTTCAAAAATATTTTTTGTTATAAATCAACAATAAAGAAAGTCGAATTGAACACTCATCGGTATTGAACTAATTCAAAAATGTCTAAGTTTTCTATGTGGTGCATTTATTTACTTACGTATCCATTAAACATCGTTAAAAATCATCAACAGAATAAAACAATTTCACTAATTTATTAAATCTACTTATTACTAATATATTTTAATAATATAAATTATTACTAATTTATTTTAATATATCTTATTACTTTTACTAATTACAAAGTATTGAAAAAAAAGATACTAAGTCTTCTCGGTCAAATCAAATATTTATGCATTTTTCCTATTACCATCATTATTTTCAATTTTTTTTATTCTATCGATAAGTAAACTTCAAAATTATTTTAAAAATTTATTTTAAACTCGGTATCAAATCACAGCATTTATTAAATCCTTAAAAATATTTATATGAATTAAACCACCTGAAAATGAATTTAAGCCGATAAGACTTTACAAGCACACAACCCAAAAATATAATTTGATCAATCATTTCGATACATTTTTTCTTAACAAAATATTTCATACTCTTATGACCTTACCATTGTACCAGTCCTGGTCAACGTGCATAATGAATCATCCACGGCCAATGTATGATACTCGGCATTTTTACTACTCGAAATCCTGCATCGATGATACCCTCTACATGAACTCAAATTGTACCTATATAAGAAAAAACAATATTCAAAATATATACATTTATACATATATGTCATTTAATACAAATATAAATGTTTAACTGTACTTATAATAATTTTAACTTATTTTTTCTGAGTAAACATATATTTTCCATTATTTTTTTTATATTATATTTCATATTTTAATTAAACAAAATACGGTTTACTTTTTATTATGAACGTTAAATTACACAAAAACAAAATTGCTTGTTAAAATAAAATCCCTAATTATCAAAAAAAAAATAAATAAATAAATAACTTAGACTCATTAAATATGGATACTAATATATGAATTCAAAAACATAAGCATGTTGAGTATCTATTTTATTTTACTAATTAGAAATTCAGTTAAAAATAAGAAATAAAATTAATAAAACAATATAAAACATATTACCTCAGGGGGGTACTAAGCAATTAGTACTACGGGTTTAGCGAACCTGGGGCCCCGAGCTACCCTCTCCATGGGTATAATGGAGTTGGCGATAGGCTAACAACCTATCCTGTAAAAATCCCATGTTCAGGAATCAAACATAAATTTGCCTCGGAATTGTGGATCAAAGGACTTTAGACTGGAAAATTGGAAATCGGCATTACGTTTTGGAACCTGGAATGTACGCAATTTATTCAAACCTGGAGCAGTAGGAACAGTAGTTAAAGAGATAGAAAGATACAAGTTAGGAGTAGTGGCACTACAGGAAATGAGGTGGCAAGATACGGGTTCAATGCAAATAAGTAATACAACGCTGTTTTTTGGTGCTTGTGACGGAAGAAGACAAGCTGGAAGTGGATTCGCGGTAAACAACAAGCTACTAACAGCTGTAAAAAGTTTTAAAGTTATAAACCCTAGATTAACGATCTTGACACTGGATACAAAATGGTTTGGAGTAGTCTTCGTAAATGTGCATGCTCCTACAGAGGACAAAGATGATAATGAAAAAGATGATTTCTACTCGTTGTTAGACAATACACTGTGTGAGATACCAAGAGGCTGTGTACAAATCATATTAGGAGATTTTAACGCAAAAATCGGACGTGAAGAATGTTTTAAGCCGATAATAGGAGGGCATAGTCTACACCAGTTATCGAATGATAATGGGTGCAGACTTATTGACTTGGCAACGGGAAGAAATCTAAGGGTTAAAAGTACCATGTTCCCTCATAAGAACATACACAAAGGTATATGGAGGTCACCAGATGGACGACATGTAGATCAAATAGACCATGTACTGGTGAATGAAAGATTTAATAACAGTATTATGGATGTAAAAACCGTACGTGGAGCCGACAGCGATTCGGATCATTTTCTTGTGGCAGGTAGACTACGAGTGAAGTTAAAAAGAAGACAAGAAATAAGGAGAGGAGGAGCTACGAGGCGGTATGACATCGCGAACCTTAACTATCCAGTGGTAGTTGAGAATTTTCAAAAAGGTATAGAGGAAAAGTTAAGAAGGATGATTGCAAGTGAGTCAGGCAGAGAAGTGGAACAAAGGTGGAAAACGGTAAAACAACTTATTCAAGAAGAAGCAGAAAAAACAATAGGGAAACAAAAAACTAAGAAAAAACCTGGTTTAATGATATTTGCGAAGAAGCCATAGAAAGAAGAAGGAATGCTAGAAATATATGGTTGTCCGACACTGATAGTGTGGAGAAATTAGAAAGATTCAAAATGAGACAACGGGAAGCGAGTAACATATTAAGATGTGAAAAAAGAAAATATTTACAAAACATACTTAAGGAGGCAGAATAGAATTTTACTAGTCACAATACAAGAGACCTATATAAAAAGGTTAATTTCTTAAGTAAGAAATATAAGCAGCCGGAGAAATTTCTCAAAAATGATGATGGAACGCTTATCACATCTAAAGAAGAGATAGCAAATAAATGGGCGAACTATTTCAAGCAGCTGTTGAACTGTAATACACCAGATAGTTTATTCCAATTTGAGAATATGGAAACTAATAATACAATTTGCCTAGCACCGAGTAAGGAGGAAATTCAAGAATAAATAAGAAACTTAAAGAACCATAAGGCATCCGGAGAAGATGGTATCCCGGGAGAGTTACTTAAAAGTATGGGAAATGGCTTGCTTGAATATGTGTCCGGGCTAATAAAAGAAGTTTGGGAAAAAGAAGTGATTCCGGAGGAATGGCAAACAGCGCTGATATATCCTATACACAAAAAGGGAGATAAGCAGTTGTGTGATAATTATAGAGGTATCGCTCTATTAAATGTTACCTATAAAGTGCTATCCAAATGTATATTAGACAGAATTAAGCCGTGGGCAGAAGATATTTTAGGAGATTATCAAGCAGGGTTTAGACAAAATAGATCTATCACAGATCAGATATTTATTTTGAAACAAATTTTCCAAAAAATGTGGGAGTTTGACAGGGAAGTACATGTACTGTTTATTGACTTCAAGAAGGCCTATGATTGCATACATAGAGAATCTCTGTTGAATGTACTAAGACAGTTCAAATTGCCCCAGAAATTAATTAATCTGATAAAAGCAAACATCCTACACACGGAAATCAAAATTAAAGTGGGCAATATTGTATCACAAGGGATACCAGTATCGACTGGTTTGAGACAAGGGGACGCTATGTAACCCATACTATTTAATATAGCGTTAGAAAAGGTCATCAGGGAGAGTCGGATTGAAGAAAACGGAGTACGATTGGGAGATTGCATAATAGGAGTATTGGCCTACGCGGACGACATAGTGTTACTTGCGGAAAATAAGGAAAATCTCAGGGAGCAAGCGGGAAAACTATTAGACACGGCAAAAAGAATAGGTTTAGAAATAAATGCTGAAAAAACTGAATACATGATCGTACAGAGAAGAGAGCTCGCGGATCATGATCACCCATTTTTAGAAGTCGGGCAGTACAAGTTTCAGAGAGTGCAGGAGTTCAAATATCTGGGATCGACAATGACACAAAAAAACGATGAACTTAATGAAATAAAAGCAAGACTCCAATCCGGTAATAAGTGTTACTACGGTCTAAGTAATTTGTTAAAGACGAGGACGATATCGATGAACCTCAAGATACAATTGTATCGCACCCTCATCCGTCCAGTGGTAATGTATGGTTGTGAAGTATGGACATTACGGAAATCAGATCAAAACAGACTGCTGATATTCGAAAGAAAAATATTAAGACGAATCTTCGGACCGTGTATAGATGAGACCACAGGGGAATGGAGAATTCGAAAAAACGAGGAGCTCAAACAGTTGTACCAAATGTCTGATATAATTAGAGAAATTAAAAAAAAGAGACTCCAATGGGCAGGACATGCATGGAGAAAGGAAGGAACTCTAATTCGAATGGTTCAATGTGGGACTCCCCAAGGAAAGAGACCTGTGGGACGACCTCGACTAAGATGGGAAGACCAAGTCAGGAAGGACGTACAAGTGACAGACCCAAGTGCCGATTGGAAGGTCTTAGCGTTGGATAGAGTGAAATGGCAAGATATATGTTTGAATGTATGATCTTAATGGTCGATTACAGACAAGAAGAAGAATAAGAAGAAGATATAAAACATATATAACAATATAAATAAAAAATAAATATATATAATATATATACGTTCAATTATACTCAATTATTATCTTGACAAGAAAAGCAAATAAAAAAATAGGTATATAGTACGAAAAAAGAATGGATGAATTGAAATCTGTTTACCATAAGGTCGTTTAAATTATAACTAAATGAGTGTAATTTAATAGTAAGTAATAATGATGAACTTTTATGTAAACTTAACTATGTAATTTTAACGTTTAAAATAAATCTTATAAATTGTTCCGTACATGATGAATGTTTACAGGAAAAATATTCGATAATTTTGGACAATTTTATTAACATTTTATGTACGTACTACGTGAATATATTGACCGAGTAAAATTACAAATTTGATTGAGCTTCTTTACAATAGCATGCAACAAAAGAAAAAAATTCATTGTATAACAAATAATATAGAGTTGCAATGGTTTTATTTGGATAATAATGCTGTAAAACTTATTAACGTTATATCAACCGATTGACATGTAATTTTCAACATACAAGCATCGTAGAAATACTCGTCTTATTTAAATTACAATACCGACAAATATATTAATCACATTTCTAATTACCGGAACAATAAAACTAAGAAGATCAAAACAATTGTAAACAAAGGGTTGAAACACACTCAAACAGATTACCTCAACAAACTATTCAATATGCGACTTTAGAAAGTTTGTAGATTCTATAACTTTTCAATAGATTTACTTACATTAAGCTAAGATTTTTAACGATTAAATTTAATTTAAAAAAAAAAAAAAGTTTAATTAAATAAAATATCACTCAGTTTAACAGTATGGTTATTGTATAATACCAAATTCAGTTGACCTTCAGTTAAAAAAACTTTAAAATAAAATACATGTTTCTCAAGTAATAGTAGTAGGTACATTAAAAGTTTTATGTACAGATTAAAATTTTAATGTTGATGGTTTTTTATTCAAGAAATTTTCTTGAATTTTCCAATAATATTTAATAAAGTTACAAAATAACTTTATAAAAAACTAAAAACCAATAGGGGATTATACTGATAAATCATTTCTAACTTTATTTTCACTGTTAACATGTTATCATAATCGACAAAATTAAAACCATATAAAGACTATAAAATATATATAAAAAATGTATTTAATTTTTATTTAGAGCTTGAGTCAAAATCTTGAAAATATCTTTAGTAGATATACACAAGGTTCCCCTTAAAGATTTTTTAAAATCTCACGCCCTCTCATAAATTTAAAAATTTGATGACTTTTTTTGTATACTTTACAAATTAACTGTACAATCATAATGCGTAATGACTATTACTTTTTATTTTTATTAATAAAAATAATTAATGTACTACATGATGATTGCTTGTATGCTACAGAAATGTGTTCAACTCCCCGCCCAGGTTAATAAAGACTCATGTAAAAAGATAATTAATATT